AGTTCAGCACTTGCCATGCCTTGAGATGGCATTTCCACTGCAACCTTGAAGGCACCTCAAGGTAGTAGGTGGTGATTGTTACTTGTTTCATTGATGGTAAAATGAAATCCCTGGAGGTTTAAATGGCTCACCTGGAGATCAGAAAATAAATCCAGGGCATGTCAAACACCCAGCTTCCCAGCTATCAGCCTCTGGCAGCAGAGCTCCATTTAGTAGTAAAGGGAAAATATCTCCAAACCCTCCAATTAGTCATGGACGGAATGAATGTGCAGGAATCCCCTTCCCTTTCAATCACACAGTTACTTTTCAGTGATGTCAAGCTTTGCTGGGGCCTGAGTTCCCAGGCAGAAAGGGTGACTGAGGTGAGAAGTGTTCAAACAGCTGAGCAAACCTCACATGCACTTGAAATTACTGCAGGGTGTGTAAGTTCATAAAAGCCTCATAACTGTGAGGTTTATTAGCAAGCATAACCATTTTCCAAGGGAAGTAGGGGGAGATGGGAGTTAATTAACCCTCCACTGTGCTGCATGTGCTGTAACATTGGAGAAATAGATTATTTCTCTATTTTTCCTGCATGGGATTGACCCACACAGTCAGAGAGTTGTGTGACTATAAAAATAAAGCAAGAACACAAAGCAAATCAAAGCCCACCAGTAAGTAAGACACTCGGGTGTGTTATGTTGAAATGCTTCCAGTAGAGATAACTCGTTATTAATGCTCTTGCACACAACAAGGGAGCCTTTGGGGAATGTTTATCTGGGTGACTGTGCCATTTTTCTCCTTGACTTGCAAGAAAGCTGCATTCAGACTGGAGCTTATTTAGAGAAATGAGCGTGGCAAATCAGAGGAATGGTTTTCAAAGCAAAATTTACAACTTCTACTTGGGATGGAGTGATTTATTTTTCATTTGAGTTTTGCTAGGAGATTGATCTCCAAGAGCATGACTTTTGTGGTTAGAGTAATATCCTTGGTGGGCTTTTGTGCAGCTGGCAAGTACAATTCACAAAAAGGTTGGATTTTACAGATTCTTTTTTTTAATTTTATTTTTTTTTCTCCCGGAAAAGTAATTTTTTCCACAAGACTCTGAAAGAATTTTATAATGTGTATAAATGGGGTTTATTAAGGCTTTGGCAGATCGGTGACCCAGGTTAATTTGTTAAACTCATAGCAAGTATTCAAGTTTAGTATTCTTGGAGAGCAGTATTGAGGATCGAGAGGTCTGGGATTAAAATCCATTGATGTAACAGATTGTGCACTTTTCCTGTGGGTAGCACAAAAGTTGTGTTTCCTTTAAGGAAAAGACAAGATGTTTGTCATTTAGGAAGGTGATTGCCAACCTGGTAATGTTACCTAAACAAAGGGGTTTATCCTGGCGCTGAGTGCATTCTCTTGGTAGTTTGGGACACTAAGGGCTAATCCAGGACAGGGCTGTGGACACGTGGGATGGCAGTGTGATTGAAAGGCCAGGTATTGAAAAGTTTTCCTTGGGCCAGGAAGCAACAGGGCAGGTATGGCCCTTCAGAGTTGTTTGCTGGCTGAAGAGATTTCAAGTTTAGCAGAAGGTGTTATATCACTCTAATAATTCTAGAAAGTTTCCAGATAGTGATGAGAGACTTGACAGCACAATACCAGGAATAGCAATCCAGATAAAACAGCCCTGGGGTCCTCTTTTTGTGTTTTTAACTTTCTCTTCAACACCTGTGCTTTTCCCAATGCAATCCTTGCAAAGGCAAGGTACAACAGACAACGATCCCTCGGTGGCAATGTTTCCCCTCCTAGATCTTGAAGGGAAACTAATTTGGGCTTCCATAGTTTATTTACTGACATTGCCAGTGCTGCTTGTAGAAGACCATAACAATATAGCACTGTGAGTAATGGGGCATCTGGGGGAACAAGGAGCTCCCAGCAGGATGGCTGATGCCATGCTGCAGGAAACTTGAGAGGCTCTTCAAATCATCACGTGCTTTTCCCTTGGGTGACTCGCTGCTGTAGAGTTTCGAGGTTCCCTTTCAATGGGTTTTCATTCCTCTTTGTGTCTTGTGGGAGAGCAGAGGCTGCATTACGGAGCTGGTCTTTATGGGAGACTCACTGGTGTCTCACTAGAAATAATGTACAAGATGCCGTTGCACAAAGATGGATTTCGGAATTACTTGGATACAGTGGATGATAAATCCAGGTGACAACAAAGAAACATTATTAACAACTTGGTATAGAAAGCTGCTGAACTGACTCAGTCTCCTTCAGTGGAAGTGAGTGTGGTCCATAGATTTTGGTTATTCCAGCAAAGCACAGAGTCTTAGTTTATCACGTTTGCAGTTCCATCTTAACTTGCAGAAAGGTTTCTTGGAGACTTAAGCTTATGCATCAAAACAAAAACCTTGACAAATTCATGACTGTACCAGCATTTTTTTCCCCATTCACTCATTTCTGTCCAGATACATTTTTTTTTTCCATCAGCTGAGGACAGAGACAGATGAATTGGTATCCTTAAACCAGGAGAGGCTGTGATGGGTGTTCCCCTCCAGCAGGGACCTGTGGTTCTTGGCAGCCTGGGGAAGGAAAGGGGCGACCCCAGCCAGGGGAAGGGTTTCTGCTTTCAGTGCACCAGCCAGATTTTGGGCCCTGCTGCCAAGAACACAGATTTTATTAGTGCTGCAAAAAGAAACTCTGTTCAGGGGGCTTTAGTTTCAATGCCAGTTTAATTCAAGTCAGTGCTCCAAAGCGTATCCTCCACTGCCCTGGTGCCATTTCACAGCCCCGGCTGGAGCTGCCCTCGTGCGATGGAGCGGAAATGGGTTCTTGTCTTTAGGGAATAGGATTTATTATACCAGATTTGAGGCAGAAATGGGCAAATTATGGGGGTGGGGGAGAGATGAGGTTGTGAGAGGAAGGGCCTGGGATATGGGAACTGGTTTCAATAAGAACCAGTGTGAAATTTCATCCCCTTCTCAAGAAGAAACCAGCCTTTTCAAAGTCTCTCCCGGTTTTCCAGGCTTAAAGTAAATAAGTAAATAGCTCGCACTTGTTGGCTTCAAATGGAACCCAGAACCAGGGGGTACAAAGGAGACTAAAAAAGCTTTTATTGGCTTGAAAGAAAATATTTACAAATGGATCAGGATGAGGCAGGATTGGTTCTTAAGAATTCCCCCATTTGGTTTCTGTAGCAGAGGAAGCAGCTGAAGAAATTTGTTCACCTATTCCTACATTTGCTATATCCCAAACAGCCATGCCAGGTGCTGGAATAAAGAAATACTTAATTACTGAAACTTTCATTTACATTCGATCTAAAACCTCATTTTGTTACTTTCTTTAATTACCCAAGCCAAATAAGCACTGAAGAGTGTATCTCCCATTAATTTAGGCTCTGAGTCAGCAAGGTAATTTAATTAAGCACGAGTGTAATTCGCAGCACATTAGAAGTCCCACTGAAACCTGCTTCTGCTGTTCTGCAGTTGTTTCAGAGTTAGTTTTATTTCTTGACGCTCCAAGACAAGCCAAGCTTATTTTTTTCATTTCAGCTCCAGTTGTGAGCAGGGGAGAAAGGCAATTTGAGGTTAAGTGGAGAAAAATTTTACAGAGTGCTTGGGGAAAAGCTGAATTTGAGGTAGCAGAGGATGCAGAGGAGCGGAGCATGTGTGGGCTGGGTGTTCCTCAAGCTGCAGGTGGATGCTCATTGCTGTGTGCCCAGTTCCCAAGGCATTGCTTGGATGGGCCTGCAAAGGAGGTGACAGGAGGCCACTCTTTATTAAATACCTCAGGGCTGGGCTGTGTTGGGCCCCTCACCACAAGTACAGTGATGATAAAAACTTCTTTTTTGGGTGGTGGCAGAAACTAAATCTCTGCCTGACTGCTCACCTCACTTGCTGGGGTAGCTCTGAATGACCTGGAGGAGTCTTGCACTGCTGTCCCAAAAAGGCTGATGAAGCTGTGGCAGAGGGACTGCCTGGATGAATTCCTGCTAAAGAGTCCTAAGGAAGCACTCCCCTTGGCATCAGCTTGGTTGGAATATGTATCTTTAAGGTCCAGCTTGCTCAGAGTGTGGTCCTGCTCACGCTGAATGAATAACTCCATTATGTCAAAAAAAATTACGACTGCATAAATTAGGAGAAACTTGGATCCTGTGCCTTTCTTTCAAGGAATTGTGAATGCAGTTTTGGGAATTGACAAATATTTGGAATATAAATTGAAAACACCAGACAAAATTTTTTATTTCTTGCTATGGCTACAACAATGTTATAACTCACTTTCTTTTGGCTTTAAATAACGGTCTAGATAATTAAACATTTTGTTTTCAACCTATTAAAACCAGGCTATAAAAATTAGTGCTGGTTTTATATAAAATATAGAGAAACTTAGCCTATGTAAAATGGTTTTTAATTGAGGAAAATACCTAAACGACTTCCTGGAAGTTTTGGAACATTTTGACAGAACTTTTGACCTGATGGTACAGAAAATGCTGAAAGATTAGCATTTTAAACCAAATATTTTTTGTGTAAAACAAGAATAATCAATCATCACGTTAAAGGGGAGTTGCTGTAACAAAGAAGCAATTTATCAAATGCAAATGCAGGGTTATGAATAGACTCCAAGAAAGCTCTTAGTTTCTTGTCCAGAGCTGCTTTCCCACCAAGTCAACATTATATCACCAACAGAGTTGCTGGGAAACTGGGATACTTGCACGTAGAAAATTTGCTTGGAAAATGTTTTTATTTTTGGATTTATCAACACATAATACTGAAAAAAGATTTTTTTCTTTCTCTCCCTACCCACTCCCTCTATTTCCCTCAAATTTCAGATGGGAATGGTGGTGCCTCAAGTGAATACTGATGCTTGGAAGCATTTTAACTTTGTACAGTAATGTTTGAATGCAACATTGTTATTTAAAAAATTAAACTGAAGAAATAATTCTTTAAAAATAGCACTGTTATGCTTGTAAGCACAAAGGAAGTCCTTTCAGTTTCTCCCACTTATTTTAACTGAATTGTTTGTTTGATTTTCAGCACATCTTTTGTGAAAACCCTGGAAACTCCCAGGTTGTTTCTGTTTCTTTACCTGCTGCTGGTGAAGTGTTTGTGAGTCAGCCAAGGGAACCCAGCCCATTTTCCACATCGACCACTGATGAGGCATTCCCAGGAAACACAGAAGGGAGGGAGATCAAAGTGGAGCAGCTGGAAACCAAGGGCCAGGTGGGCACCAGAAGGAAGTGCTGAGCACTCTTGCAGCTTAGAGCAAACACTTGTGTGCATGTCCAGGGAACGCATCGGCCAGCAAGGTCAGGGGGACTTGTCAGAAAGCAGCCAAATCGTATTGCACGAATTTATAATCCCTGGTACACTGGAAATCACAGCAGGGGGCTTGTCTTGGTCTTATCTCTGACGTTCCTGCTCCTCAGTGACCTTAATGCTGTCCAAGGGCCTGGGGGTGTGGAGGGAACTCTTCCCGTCCTCGGACTGCTCCCCCTGTGTCCAGAGTCCACTACAGAGAGGGCTCTGCCCCTCCAACAAACAATCCTAAGCCTGCAGCCTGTTCTAATAACCTCCTTTCCCCTCAGTGTCCTTGTTCCTGTTCTCCAGGTTTTTCCTGTTGTGTCCACATCCTCCTGGGATGGTGGTGCCCACAGCTGAGCCGCCTGCTTCCCACCACCGAGCCAAGTGGGAGTGTTACACCATGTGTTCTACAGATGACACTTGTTTATTTTTCCCAGGACGGTTTTCCATTTTTTCCCAGCAGCATGGTGTTGTTGACTCATAGATATGATTTAATACATTATAGCTCTGTAGTGAAATGGTGGATTTGTGGGTTTGGGTTTGATTTTTTTTTTGCCTTTCCGACTGCTTTAATAAAGAGAAAAAAAAGGTGCTATGGGATCACTGGCAGATTTAGTTTATTTAATTTGCTGGGTTTCTCAATGCTAAGGTTGAAAAGCCACACTGACAAAAGTACCTGCTGATGCCATGAAGTCACTAAGGGTGTGGTGGGGTTGTACAGCCCCTTCTTTTAATCAGTAGCAGGTGAGAGGATTGTTCTTCACTTCAGGTTTGTCTGTCTTCACAGAATAATTTACACTGTAATTGTTTTTATGGGTCTGAAGTCAGAGTTTGAAAGTGAAGTTAAAAATCTAGTCCTTAGTTATCTTTGTTTCTGGGAAGCAATAAGATTTCTGTCTCTTTGCTGTCTGTGTCACAGCAATCTGAACTTCTCTTCAGCCCAAATGTTATCTGTGTGTCCAGGCCTTTTACCTCCTGTCGACAAACCCACGTTGATTGAAGGCTCAGTTTTGTTATACATGCTTAAAACTCTGTTTTACACTGGAGCCATTATGTCATGAGAAATAGCAGAGATAAGAAGTCCTGCAAAGCCATAATTTGTATGCAGGCTGACATGTTTCACCAGCATGGACAGGGAAAAAAAGCTTGTGGGTTTGTTTTTTTAAATTTTAACACAGTTCAGAAACAGATGAGTGTTTAACCTCCGAGACCGAACATATGTTACTATGAAGTAGCAAACTTGTATGTCTTTTACCCGTTTCATGACTGGAAGCTGAAGATGTTTTGACATCAGTAGTTAAAGTTTGATAAAGGTAATTATTGGTGTGGAAGCACCCAAGCTGTTTGCCATGTTGGCTGCCTTTCAGTCCGTCCCACTGAACATTGCAGTGCTTTCCAGTCAGACATTAGAGACCATTTCATGAATGCTTATAGTAACCTGGCAGTGTTTCCTGCCACTGTGTGTGCACTGGCTCCCTAAATCCCAGGGTATTTATTTTCGTCTCTGTTATTTTCTTGTTAGAAAAACATCTAATATTCAAAACTATACCTTCTGCACATTCAAGTGGTAAAAGGGGTGGTGGAGGGAGAAGAATAGTTTTGAAATAGCTCATTTTCAGCTCATGTTTTGTGTTTGGAATAAGTCTGTGGATGTTGCAACAGCTGGAGACTCTTGATTTAGTCTGTGACATGACTTCACTCGTTCCTCCCCAGCTTCCTGAGCTCAGCAGGTCCCACTGTTGTTGGGGAGAGATACCGACCCAGCTGGCTGCTTTTGCAGGCAGCGCTGCTCTCCCCAGGCCTCTCCCTGCGCACACCAACTTCTGGGTGATAAGGAGAACTTCTCAGCTCTGAACACTCATCAAACACACCACTCCTCTGGTAAGTGTGTTAAACTAAGGCCTCTGATGCCTGTCCAATTTGTCTCCTGCACAACACTCTTCTCGGTTTGCAGCTTTAATGCGGCGGGATCGGAAATAATCAGGCTTTGAAACAGAACCGTGTGGTTGAACACCCAGCACAGAAAACAGAATGTTTGAGAACTGCATCATTATCTGTGTCAGACACACAGAGCAGCCCACGAGAGACAGCTTTGTATCACAAATGGAGTGGTGGAAATCCGAGTCAGTCCTTTCTCTCCCTGTCCAGAATTATCCTGGAATGGGTATTTCTGACTTAAGGGGAAAAAACCCTCCCCATAAAGAATAGGGTGGGTTTAGTTTTTAGGACATTTAATGATGTACTGGCACATAGTAACTGCACTATAAATATAGTCTGAAAAAATATGAGCTTAGTTTGGAAGCTGCTCTCAGCTAAATTATGGGGTTTTGATCCTGACCTAAACTGATCCCACATGTTCCTGGATTCTCCCAAAGTTTGAGTGCACAGTAAATCAACTGTAATTTTTTTCCTTTTTATTGCAAAGAATGAACAGAAGAGATTGGAAATTATATGACTATGGCATATGTTTATCACATGGTTTAGGATTGTTTGATATCTTTTTAGCTTTAAGATTTAAGTAAAGTTTAAAACAGGTATAGAGGATCAAAACCAGCTAACTAGCATTAGGTCACCATGGTTTCAAAAACATTCAGTGCCTCTGCAGAGAAGAACTGATCTTACAAGTACTGGATGTGTTCTGCTCACACACACTGAAGAAGATAGTACCATAGTAGGGAACAGTAAAGAAGGAGGAAATATTAAATTACTTCCTTGGGAATAATTCCCAATGCTTTAAACAACAGCAGTTGTACCCCTGTGTTGTGCTGCTTCTCCTTTGAAAAATGAGTATGTTCAGTATTTCTTCTTCTTTTCCTTTTCTAAGGCCTTCTTTTTCCTCTTCTTCACTCTTTGCTGTACTAGCTTCAGTGGTGGTGCTATTTTGTACTTTTTGTCTTTGCAGCCCATACCTTGTCACTTTGGCTTCTTTTTGCAAGTTGTTTTATTATTATTATTATTATTTTAACTTGAGAGTTAGTATGTCCTTTCCTGGTGGTACCAAAGTATGGCTAAACTGTATTCTTGAACTTGGCTTTGCTGATGGACTGGCTTTTCCCTCTGTAACATGAAGTGTTGCAGCTGATTTTTGTGAGCTGAGTGCCCACACGAGTCTGCTGCCATGTGGGCTGGAGAGCCAGCTTGTCTAAACCTTCCTCAGTAATTACCAGGCAATAAAAGTTAACTGCCCCATAAAACCACATGGAAGAACCAAGCTATTGCTGGCTGGCCCTGCTCAGCCATCCTCTTCCTGTGTGCTGGATCTTTTGGACAGGTGGAAGGACTGACCAGGGTCCCTTTTGGCTCTGAGTTTCTGGTAACTGGTGCCCTGGCCTGGGCTGCTGGTGACAAGGCTCAGAAGCACATCTCAAACCAGGAGTTTAAGCACTGCCCTAGTCTGACCTAAGCAGTTCCTGTTTTATTTGTCACAGAGTTAAAAACAAGGTAAGTCACTCCAGAGTTATCCTCTAACACTGGACTGTTTTTCTAGACACCTTGAGAAATGTTTCAGAGTGCTGCTTCAAAGCCATTCTACTGCAGCACTAAATAAGCTGCTGGAGACTGAAGGTGTCTAACGTGGACCCAAAGACAGGGCAGCTTTGCAACTCCCTTAAACTGGCCATGACTCAAACTGGCAGAACTAGTCCTAATTCTCTAGCTCAGTAGAAGTGCATAATGGCTTTGTGGGGAAATGAAAAATGTCAGGTTTCTGCCAACCTGCTCCCAGGATTTATATCACTGTTGTAACTCCTAATTTATACTGCTGTGCTTCTGGTATCTTCTTTCATCATCTGTGTCTTCAGCCTCATTTTTTACTTCTCTCTCAGCTAACAATCCCATTTATTTTGGGGGGTTTTATTTTTCCTTTTTTATTACTAAGTAACTGAGATTTCGGTCTTCTTCAGGGGTTGCAAGTTTAAAAATAATGCAGAAGACTGTTAAGCTGCAGGGTGGGTAGCCTGGTGAGTTGTAGAGTCAGGCAGCCAGAAAGGATCATAGGATATCATTTAATCCATGCTGCTGCCTCAAAGAAGAATATTTACACTAATGTTCTAACAGAGGATTGTCTGAACTGTCCTTAAATATCTCTGATAATGACAACCATTCAGCTTCATTAGGCAACCACTTACCCTTCATGTTAGATAGTTTTTCTTAATCTTCAGTCTAAGTATTCCAGGATCCCAGAAATAACCTGTTTGGGGTAGTGCAAAGAGAATTCAGCCTTCTATTCTGCTTGTTGCACTGATTTTCCAGGAGTGGAGGAGAGAAGCAACAATAGGAAGGGTACTTTGAGAATGAAGTAGGTATTTTCAATCCTTTTTTGTCATTCCCAGTGCTGGCATTGCCCGCAGACGCTTGAGGGTGTCCCCTTTGCATGAGGGATCACAGCTCAGTGTTTCCTGCACTGGGATCACAATGCTGAGCCCTCTGCAGGGGCTGCGCGTGGCCACACTGCTTCTATTTGAACACCAGCGAGCTGTTGGGCTGCAGTCTAGGCAGGGAAGCTGAGAAGGGAAACACTGGAGAATGCCTTGATTAATAGCATCCCTGAATGATAATGGCTGTTTTATGGCTTTTATAAGGATTGTAGTGTTTCTCATATATAAAAATAGACTAAGATGTGGTTGCAATTAATGTAGAGGCTCTTTGTTGGAGCTGTTGACTGTAGGAAAGAACCCAAGGGTTTCTTAGGCTCCTCAGTTGTAAAACTAACTAAATGCATCTCAGGCTGCCTTGTGTCACTCCATGGCATCTTTCAAAGCTGTAATTAGCAGATACCTAATGAGTTGTGGCTATAGCATGTGGATCAGATGACTCAAGTATTTACTCTAGGCCTCTGATTCTCTTTCTCCACACAAGGGAGAATAATTTGGTTTTAACATTTAGAGACTCATTTTCTTTGATTGCCTTGCCTAGAGACTTCACTGTTTCCAGGACAAGAGTTTGTGTGTCAGTTCAAACTCCTTGGTTTGAAGCCTTCCTATTTTTTTCAGCCCACATTCCTTCTTTCCTTAACCCCTTTGAAAACTTTGAGTGTTATCTTTGACAGTCATTTCATACTGACTGTGCTTAAGCTGCCCTTGGTTCAGAAATTTCCTAATTGCTCCCTGTCCTCAGCCATTCCACCGTAAAGAGCAAATATTCAGATGAACCAAATGTTGACTAAATCAAAGGTAAATATCTGTTAGCTGTTTTTCTAGACAGCTGGGTGTTCCCGAAGACTTTTCAAAGCCATTCCTTAAGGAATAACTGCATGACTTCAGCTGTGAGCACAGCAGTACATGTAGATCCATACCTGCAAATGGCATGTTACAGGCAACTTGTACTGCATGTCCCTGAAATGGATTTATTTCTGGGATCAGCACTTCTCTAGACGTGTCTCAGGGGACCTGAGCTGAATGTTCAGCAAGTGTTTAAGGAAGAAGGGAAAAGCGTGGGGGAGGTTACCCTGTGCTCTAAGAGTGTCTGTTTTATAACAGCCGTGCTTGTCACAATAAACAGGATTGATTGGCTCTTCATCGCCAGCCACTCTCTTAGTTCTTCAGATGGTGGCAAAGATGAATAGGGAGCGAGCTTCATCCTTCTGCAAAGCTGGGAATTTAGGCAGTGCCAATCTCATGGTTGCAGGCAGTTGACTGAATCCCATGGGAGTTGCAATCAGGCCGGTATCGTTTTCCTAACAGTGATATTTAATGTGCCAGTCTCGTTTTCCCCTCAGCCCAGTCATATTTCTTCCAATGATGAAAACAAGGAGCACGTTTTCCTTTATCCAGCTGACTTTGGTCTGTGGGCACTGAGTAATTTAGGAAATTGCTCCAAGTTCCCTCAAAATACATAGGTTTGTATTTACATCTCTGTCTATGACAGTGATTTGCCATATAGTCTAAAGTTTTGAGGATGTGGGGTTTCTTTGGGTTTTATTAACCTGATACAAGGCTTTATAACTAACTCTTGTGACTGCTGGGAACACAAGTTTCCATCAACCATTAAGCAGGTAAATAATTTCTGCTTGTCAGTCAAGAAGATCTTACTGTTCTGTTGGTTGTTTTCAGACATATTTAGTAGACTGAACTAGAGGAAAATGCCTCCTAACAAGGATCTTCTTGCTTTAGAGACATTTATAATCCTCACTGTGAAAGCTTTCCCAAAATGTTTAGGGTCTGTTTAAAACTCATGAGAAAATCCAGAACTAAAGTAGGTAATGAGAGTCAATTAATTACTTTGAGCTATAGGGAAAGTAATTCCTAATGTAATAATTTAGGCTATCAGCCCATGGTCTACAGCTGAACCAGACTGCACAGTGTTATTTGCAACTGGGAACACAATAGTAGAAACTACCTGAGCATCCCTGCTCCAACAGAACTCACAGCTTCCTAAACAAATGGGCAAGGCTGGAAATAGTGAGCCTGGCAGATGCATGGCATGACTGGACACTTTCCATTAATCCTCCCACCTCTTGGTGAAGCCCCTGGGCAAAACTGTTTGTAATATTCCACCCTTTTCTTCCAAAGAGGTGACTCATGTCTGGGATCCTGCAACTTTTCCTAAAGGGGAAAGACTGAAACTCATGCTGTTGTAAAACTAAATTCAATGTTTTCCCTCCCTTAGGACCAACATTTTTAACTAAACTAGATAACTGGGAGGTAGTCTATCAGTTTTCTGTCTTGGTATTCCAAACCATTAAAACCATCAAAGCCTGTCTCTTGAGTTTGGACTCAGAGGAGGGATGTGGATTAATGACACAACTGTGTTGGCAGATGAACGGATGAGGTGACCTTTAGGTCTCTTCCCCTTTGCTTGTGGTGACTGATGCCAAATTGCTGTGCAAGAAAACAGCAACTTCATCATTTACAAAGTAGCTGCTGAATTGTTCATGCAACATTGTTCATGCTGGTTGGGAGGGTTTGGGGGTTTATGCTGAGCGAGAGCGATGGGCTGCTCCTAACCCAGCCAACCATAACCTTGGGAAGGGCTCAGCAATTCCAGTTGAGGTGAGACTTAATCACCCTAATTGCCTCTGAGGTCCAGGAGCACCGGGAGCTGGGCAGAAGGAAAGGATTCATGTTGTTGCTGCACTGACAGAAGCACCATCAGAAACCATCAGTTACCTGGGGGGTTTGGCAGGAGCTGCTGGGCCAGCCCGTGGCTCCAGCTCCACGCTGACCACTGCAGGGTCCAGCCACACATTCCCATGCAGGGGAAGAGCAGATGGTCCAGCTTATGGCGCTGGAAGGAGACTTAGAGGACAAAGGGCAAAAATAAGCAGGAAATCAAGTTCTTTGCTCCTGTGGAATAAACTTTCATTATTGGAGTGGCAGAGCAGCCCCACAGGTCACTTTGTGTCAGGCTGAGATCCCTCTCATAAACCTGGGTTTTCAAATCAGGTATCAGTTTGTCATGTGCACCTTTTTTAGTTCTTTTCTCTCCTACAGAAGGCTTATTTATAATAAAGTCAGGGATTCCATGAGTTTCTTTCATTTTAAACACATATATTGAATATACATATATATAATATTAGTGGAGCGAAGTCATAACCAGTACTTGTGTGCCACTTGTGGGCATCAAAACACAGCAGACCTGCATTTTACCTGCTGTGTATATTTTATTGTCCTTCTAAGTTGTCCTCAGTTGATTGTCAAGATGATCAGAAGTTGAAATAGCAAGTAACTGTTTTGTGAATAGTATTCCAAGACACAGCAGCTGGCAAAGAGTAGTTGAATAACTTATTGTACAAAATAATATAAAGATCCCAATGCTTGATGTTACTGACAGATGAGTGAATGAAGCACCGATCTGCAGCCAGTGAACTCCACCTTTCAGGTTGTCAGATAAGCTCTTTTGAAATCTAGTGCCTGCTTTTAATTGCTGTTCATTAACTTTTGAATTTTGGCCCCTGAATAACAGGTGGAGGCTGCTGTGACTAATGTTTTGGTGGTCTAGAGCAGGGTGGGATGTGCTGATGTGGGAATAAGATACTTTAAGACACAGCAGCCTCGGTTGATGACTGAATTTCAGCTTTTGGCCTGGCTAGCTTTTTTTGTTTTATTTATCTAGGAGTGGGGAGGAATACTGAAATAATTGTGCATTACAACAGTGAGCAGTTGGCTGCAGCTCACATCAGGAGACAAAGAAAGTCATGCCTAATGACTAAAACAGACAGCAGGTTGCAAATTTGGGCTTCATGATGCATTCCAGTCAGTAACATGAAAGGCAGGAAATATCTTACATGTGCTGCCTTTGGGGAACAAGCGAAGATACGCAGGTCAGGCACGGCTCGGCTGCGTTTGCTGAGAAGTCTTTTCTAATAGTGGGCTTTTTCCTTTTTCTGTTCTTTTTTTTTTTCCCCCTGAGCAGTGTGGCGTTGCCTGCAAAGCAGTGGGAAGATCAAACAGCCCCTCAGGCAGCTGCTCACATTGGTCAGTGCCTCTGAGAAGGATGAGCCCATCAGCGGAGCCGAGCGCTGCTGTACATCACCGGCACCGGGAGGGGGGAATGACCTTGAGCTCTTGGCCAAGTCGGTAACAGTGTCAATCCATTATCTCCAGGTACAATCCAACAAGCTGCTGCAGCCAGGGATGGCTCTGGAGCAGTTTGTAACTGCTTCTATTGGAAAGCACATCTAAACTCAATTTCAGTGAAACCACAGCGATGCTGGAAGGCACCACTGTTCTGAGGACTGACAGAGCCCTGGGTCTGTGTTCCTTTACACTCTTGTAAAAATAAGATAATGCACCCCCTAAGTCTGCTGTTCTTTCTGTTATCAAAATCTGGGCAAGTCACTAGTGGGGGTTTTCTTCATAAATCCTCAAAAGCTGTAAAAAATGGCAACTTCACAGTTGCTATCCAAACACACCATACCAGAGCAAATGACATGATGTGGTTCCCAGCATTTTGACTGTTATTCTTCCTACCAGAGTGACAAGTTAATGTTGGCTGTTTTGTTACTGAGGAGCAGGATCCTTGTTCCAAATAGTTGTCATTTAAAAAAGACAAGAATAGAAGTGAAGGAATAAGTTTGATGCAACCAATGAATTTCTCTTGCTCATCTATTTAATTACTTCACTGTGGTGAGCATGATGAAGATTTTCTATATGACCATAATTAAGAACTAGCCCTCCTATGTCAGGAAGAGTATGTGCTGAAATGAAGTTCAGTCCTGCGTCAGCACAAACCAGTAACCAAATTCAGAATAATTTCAACATTATGGGATGCAATCTCTGGTTTAGAGTGCAATAAAAATCTTCCAGAAGCACAGAGAATCAGCAAAAAACTATTTTCCTAAGTCTGGATTTCCTGTGCACAATAAATTGTCAGAACATGTCATGGCCCAAGAAGGTACAAATTAGGTTGTTGGTTTCCAGCTGCAAGTTATTGGCGTGGAGAATGACATGGATCAACAGAGCTGCTTGTGCACATCCATATTTCCAGACTTTAAAGAGCTACTGACAAGGTAATTGTTTGATAGATGCAGCATGTTATGGGACTGCTCTCCAAACAACACCAGCATCAATATTTGCTCATATTGTCAGCATATGAGCAATCTGCCCTCAAATTGCGTCTGAAAGCAACACGACCACATTTTCCCAGAAAAAGTTGCATTTGCATGTTCGGTGGAGAAAAAATTCTCTGCTGGTGATAACACATTGTGGTCAAGCTGCTCAAAATTGCTGAGTAACTTCTGCCAGACAAACACACTGTGAGTGTGTTGTGAGAATGCTGAGCACGCGCTGGGCTGGCAGAGCATGGCTCAGTCTCCACATGAACTCGGGGAACCAGGCTTGGAATTCCAACTCAACTGGGACTCAACTTGCATTGCCCTGAGCAACACCAGGAGTTTCCTGAGTCAGTGAATAGGATCAGTTGTTTTAATTTGAGTTTTTCAGAAAGCAAATCAGAACAAACCAGTCAGACAGATAGCATTGAAAATGCCCGTTTATGTATTATGATGTTTTTGGTCTGCTTGCACTTTTCTCCATAATCATATTGTCATAAACATTTTCCACTGAAAGTGTAACGTGAACAACCCTTTTATTTTTCCAATCCAGTGAATTTTTAGGAAGATGAACCGAATAACATTTCCATAAATCAGGAAGCATTAAGTGGTACCGAGGGGAGGGAACTTGTTTCAGCTTGACAGAAAATTCTTCTCCTCTGTTGTGTTTTTATGCATTGGGGCCATCTATGGATGAAGTTATAAGGCAGTTTTCATGCATGAGGTAAGAAAACAGTCAATACTAGATTTTAAAGCATTTTAGGAGACTTTGACTTTAGCAGTGTATGTCTTGTTGAACGAGTAATTTACAAGGGACTCCACTTTATGTTAATAACAAATATAAGTAGGCTTGAAATTTCTCTAAAGTACCCTTAGAATATATTCCACCAAACAGATGCTGCAAGTTTTCCATTATATTTTCCAGCTCATGGGTGCCTGTAAAATATTATGTATTATCTTTTTTTTTTTAGTGTCACTAGTGCCACACTGTTCAGGAAGTTCACTTGGCTGGTCCTGGGGTTAAAGAAAGCCTAAACTTGTACTTGGCATTCTTTCTTGTTACAGGGTCCTGCTTGCTTTTTAATTTGTAGAAAATGGATCAGTGTCTTTCTATTATTGCCATTTTCCTATTTTGACCAGATTTGTCACTAGTGTGCCCCAATTCATGTTAAAATTCAGTGTGTCCTGTTTCCTTGACTCCAGACATTGCTCCTTGAAGATGCAGATCTGCTGGAAAACAATACTCTTTAAAAATAAACAGTTTCCCTTACTCTCAGACTAACAGTAAAAAACAGTCTCTCAAAAGTTCTCAAAGGAACATGTTTAAAAATTAATGGGGAGACATTTGTCTTTGTAATGGATAGTGTATTTTTAGGTAGTATAAATTTTATAGAAGTCATAAAGTTTTATGAATTTTAACCAATGTCCTTCTCAGAATAACTTGGGTCTTACTGTCAGTGTGTTATCTGGGAAAAGACGACCAGAGCTGTTCCTAAAAGTGAGGAATTTGCAAGTGGGAGGTTACACAGGTTTGGGAAGAGAGTTTAAAATCAATCCCTTCAGCGCCTGCATAGGCAATACAGCAAAACCAGTTGTGTGACTTCAGAATTCTTTTGGTTTTAGTCTGTGTCCCAAACCCGATAAACCTCTGTGCTGGGCAGGATTTGTCTTCTCTTACAGGAATTTGACTCCCTTTCTTGGGACAAATGTGACCTACTCACTAGTCCCATAAACTACGAGTTACTTGAGCTGAACTTGAGGGAAAAAATGTCCCTGGACTTGCTGTGTCCGTGTCCCACGTGCTGGCAGCCAGCCCTCAGGTGAGCCTGCACTGAGCTCAGAATCCTGCAGTCACCTTGGGAAGCACACTGAATGGAATTGCAGTAGAGCCAGGGACACATTACAATTCCTGCTTCAAAGCCCATTACATTTATGGATCGATCCTGCAATGACACAAGCTCTGTGTCAGCAGGAACTGGGAAGCAATGAGTTTTACCCTTTTTTTCCCCTGTTAACTTCAAACTGTTGACACGGTGCTAAATTCAGTGCGCTGAAGGTGTTTCCATGTGTCACTTCTAATAGGATACAGGTGTCAGACAATTTGAGATTATTTCAAACCTAATTTTCTTAGAGTGAAGATACAAACAGTTACACCAGAAGCAGATGTTGGGCCTTTCTCACCCCTCCGAAATGTGGTTTGGCATCCATCCAGACCGAGTCTTTAGGGAAAAAGAGAAAATTACATTTAATTTTGGCTTGCTTGGTTTCCTCCTTTCAAAATCTTCATGAATGTGCAATAAAAAAAAAAAAAAACAACCAACACCAACCCATCCCTTTTCCCTCTGCTTACACAGGGACTAAGGGTCTTGTTGCAAACAGATGGAGTACAGGCAGGTTGTTCTCCATCAAGGGAGTCAATGAGTTTAGTTACACTTATCAGAACTTTTGTAGGTATCAGGAGAACTGAGCTCATAATCCTGGTATTAGAGCCTTGTGGCAAAGAAGACTCTACTCTGAGGTTTGCCACCTGAATTTTGGGTTCTGCTGCTCAAACTCCTCTTTCTGCAACTGCCCTTAGGAAAGGAATCTTGTGATTATAAATCTCACTGTGACGACTGTATTTAAAGCCAAATTACCAAACAACTGCACAGGCTTTTTGGAATCAGTGTTTGTTGGTCACTCAAATGCTACTGAATAGCAAATCCTTTAGGAGTGAAGAGCCATAAATGTACACTGGGAAGTGAGGGAGCAACATATTTGTATCATCCAGAGGAGGAAGGGCACAGAGTCCTTCCACACAGGGTGAGGACTCCCTGGACTGGTAAACACAAAGGGAACAGTGAGCAGATGGTGGACAGGAGGCACTGATGCCACTGCTGGTCTCCTGATGCCACTGCTGGTGTCCTGGGGTCAGGCCAGATCGCACCAGGAAGGGTCTGCAGGCAGGTCCTGCCGAGGGAGGTGGCTGAATATGATCAATACCAGGCATCAAGTGCTGGCTTGCGAATCAAAGGCACAACTGTGGAAATGCCACTCTGCACATGGGGTTTGACTGAGCTGCCAGGAAGTTATCCAGAGGCACTGGAAGACCAACCCGGTAACAGGAAATGAATGAAAGCATTTCTGAGCGGATCCTGGGCTGGGAGTGCTGCTGGGGCTATTTATACAGGCAATTCACCCCATTAAGGGGCTGCTCAGATGTCACAGATTAGCCACTGCCAGCACCAGTGACCTTTCTGCACAGTGCTTTAGGAACAAAAAGATGGAAATTCCCATTTTCCAAGCGTGGTCCAAAAAAGCCCTCTGTGCTCTTGTTAAAGCAGCTGCATTGAAGAGGAGTGATTAGAACTGGCCTTTTTTTTTTTTTAAGCCTGCACCTGTCTCTCATTCCACAGCTGAGGACACACTGAAATCTGCTTCCCTATAGGCCTGATCCCATCTGAGCTTCAGGTGGTAATTAAATTCATCATCATCTACACCTATTTCCACTTAACCACTTGAGGGGAAGAGCCACCTCAACACCAGCAGTTGCAGGAGTGAGGCCCCCACAGGGAAGAGAAGCTCCCCCATTTCTCCACCTCTAAAGGGGTGAAGCTTTTTTTGGTTTTCATTCTTAGGGAAGTCGAGGGCTTGCAAAGGAGGGGGAGTCAGTTTTGAGCAGCTTTGTGTGTCAGTCTCTTGGGAAAGTTTTTGATTCTTGATTATTTTGCTTGGGTAGTTCTTACACGCTGATGTCACCCGCCTTCAGAGCTGAAGTTTCTCCATATTTCCTCAGTTTCTCTTCACCTGTGAACATGCACAGTACCAGGAGTTTGGTTCCTGGCACAGTGATACAGGAGAACTAATGGCTTCAAAATTGTCATTAGTAGCATTTTTTTGTAATTCAAACTTATTGAATTTTTCTGCCTTTAAAATGCAGTGGATGCCTGGGAACTGACTGGCACTATGTGAGCAATTTAGCCTTTGTACAGTAAGTCAGGCATCCCACATAATCTGTATTTCTGGGGAAGGAAATGTCAAAGCAGAACTTGGAATTGTTTTGTGACAAGGTGCTGAGGCAAGACAGCAGGATGCTCACTCAAAATGACTAACCAAAAACGTGCATGGCCCTAAAAATGTCAAAACAGGGTAAGAGTAACACATTATTGTCATGTAAAATGCTGCTTCATCTTGGCCCAAAGTGTCACACCAGGTTTTATCACGTGGCAGTGAGGTACAATGCTCTTAAAAAAGATAAATTTTCCAGGGGAGTTGTAGCTATTTCTTTTGTACATTAATTTTACTGTTGTCACTGACTGCTTGAAATAGGAATATAATTAGATTTTCAGAATAATACTTATTCAGGCAAACGCATTTAATGTGAACAATATTCCCCAAAATGGCACAGAATTAAAACCAAAGTAAACAAGAAATTCAGGAAATATTTTCAAAATATTTTTTTGAGAAATTTTAGAAAGATGCCACATTTACTGAAGATTTTTTGGGGGGGTCCTTCTAAAGAAGGATATTAATGTATTTATCTTCTATAAAAGTGAGGCACTCATAAAGGTTTTTTTAATTTCAAGGCAGTACTGGAACTTTGTAGAGTTATTCCGATTGCATGATGGAGAATGACTCCTTTTGGCATTCTAATCAGCCAGTGAATAAATTCCCTAAAAACTGGGGATACGAACCAGAAAATGTTATTCATTAATTTTGTTTATGGTTATTTAATTTTAATTATAATACTTGAAAGCTATTTAAATCTGCAACTCCATCACGTGTAAGTTAATGTGGCACGTTTTGCAGAAATAATCAGGGCCTGGTAATCCAGATCACCACAGAGCCCCTAATTAAATCTTTGATGAGAGATTCAAAGCGATTTTTAAACGTGCACGTGGCTCAGAAAACATTTGACAAAAGCTCTACTTTAGTCATCACGACTTCACAAATTGTTCCTCTGCCATTGCCCAGGTTTAATTTCTATTCAAATTCAAAATGGAAATGTTTGTAATTGAGCAACTGCCTTGTAAATAAATATTGCCTGTAGGTAGGAAAACAAATTAATTCTCACACCATTTTTCCCATGTAAGGAGGATGTTCATCCCCAGCCCTCCTGCCCCTGTGACAGCATGAAAATGGGGTGCAAAGGTGTGGGTTGGGTTAGTCTTGGTTTTCTGGAATCATTTCCTTATAATTGAATTGCATGTTTAAGACACGGGCCCATGTTAGAAGATGGGAGCTCAGGGTTTCCAGTGATAACAAAGGTGCCTGCAGGCAATTAGAGACCTTGGGGTTTTAGGAGTCTGGTCACTAAAATGTGTTACAGCTCAAGGCATTGTTTAACAATCCGAGTCTCTTCCAGCTGTGAAACACTCCCATCATCAAGTAGGTCTCTGGGACTCCCTCAGGAACGGCAGGCTCTGGATATCCAGCTGTTAGGAACAAAAATAAATCTCTTTGAACGCTTATTTGCCATCATGTTGTGTGAGGACTTAGAAAGGCTGAAATATTTTAATCGTTCATCTCCATTCATCAAATCTTGTCGTTCCTGACAAATCTCCAAAGTGGTTCCAGCTGGGGGTTGGACGTGGCTGACACCAAACTCTGTCCGTGGAGATGAGCATCGTGGTTAAAGCTCTGCCACACACACAGGCTGTGCCTCTGTACCCAGGGTAATTCCTGCCCCTGCACAGACACCGGACAGCATTCCACAACTCCTGGTTACTTATACTCCTGTCTGTCACGAGGGATAACAGCACAACTCCAACAGCTATGGATCACCAGCCTCTACTAACCAGTATTGGAATCTCCTTCATTAACAGCCATCAGCCTTTGCTACTGACACGCGGTGTTTGTTAGCGCTGCTGTGATAACACAGAGATATTCATTGTACGAGCTTGCTTGGAAAAATTCTCAATGACCAACTCAGCAGAACCGCCTTCACTGGGCTGCAAAGAAAACCTGTTTTCCTTCTCTCTTTTCTGAGCTTCTTGTTTTAAAGTAGGAACGGTTTTGGTTTGGGTTTTTTCCTCTAGATTTTTAAATGTTATTGCTGACCTAAAAAGCAAAGGAATAAAAAAATCAAGTAAATTGGGCTGTAGTTTAAATGTTCTTTGACCTCTTCCTTGCTGGTACTGAAAAACATGAGATAAATTATTATAGATACTTAAAAACATTAGGTAAATCATTAGTAATAGTGCTGCACAACCTGGAGGTGAGTTCTTCCTCATTCAAAGGCTTTTAAACTGGCAGGTATTTCCAAAGGGACTCCAGTGTATTTCATTACACCAGTTTTCCTTATAGTGTTTCTCCTTTTTTTATAAGGCCTGTTTTGCTTCTCCCAACCTTCCACCCTTCTGAAGCAACACAGAGCCCTTCAATGGGAACGTTCACATTAACATCAGTTCTTAATTTTTCTGGGTTTTGGATCTATTTGATGAAGGACAGAGAATAATGTTGAAATTGCTGTAAAATGTTAAAAGTGTTTGGACCTGCTCTTGAATGTTTATGTATGGTTTTTTAAGCTGTGTGGTTTTGACTGTGGTTTTATTTATGCCCATTGCTGTAAGGAGGGATAATAACCTGGGCAGTGCTGCAGTGGCCCTGTTGACCTTACCTTCTATATCAGTACAGTTTTCCACCAAATTTTCTGTAGCTTCTGAGATTTTTATTTCATTATTCTCTTCCAGATTATATTTTTCTTGTATTGTTATTTCCAAGAGCTTTCTGTCTGATTTATTTTCTGTTTTCAGGACTCAGTGAAGCAGAAAACCAAAAGTTAGTCTTCAGTGGTTGGGGAAAATCCTGAAAGTTGGCGGTGGTGATCTCCGGATGATCCAGCCCAGTTTTTCCAGGACGAGGGAGCAGAGGGCTGGCAAGTGCAGGTAGGCTTCCTGCACTGAATGTGCTGAGAAATCACCCTCACAAACACATTCCAGCTTTGGCAGTGCTCAAGTAATGGCTATTGCTGCTCCAGGGAGGAAATAATTAAAGCCATTTCTTGCCTCTGACAGTTTGATACCGGTGGTTTTCAATAGCAAATTACCAACATCTGTAGAGCAGAATGCAGCTACTGCAGCAATTATTGAGCAGGGCTCACCACAGAGGTGCTGGAATTGTTCATTTGCTGGATGTCCCCTCCTCAGATGTGACCCACAATTGAGACCTGAGCTACACACGATGGCAAACTGGGTCTCCTGTGTTAGAAATGTAAATGAAACCATATGGAAAGATGAATATTCTGTGAAAACCCCGGTGGCAAATGCATCAAAGGCAGAAAATGAAAGGCTGGAAAGACATCTGAATGGCCTTCTTAATTATGTAACAATTTCAAGTTTCCAGAGCAATTCAGAAGCAAAATTTGTACAATTCATTCAATTCCACAAAAATTATGGCTTTTCATTCCCACTTACTGTTATAAGTGTTTTGTACAGTAAACATAAAGAGTGTGACTGTGCAAGCTGAAAACTCCCATCTAGGGCCCACAGCAAACAGCAGAGCACTGCAAATTTTCACTGCTGGCGAAAGGAAAAGGTAGCAGAGAAGTTAAATAAGCTCTGTATATCCCTAACTCAAATATTTGATTTTCAAACAGTAGCTAGAAAAGGTAATACCAATGTGAGCTGGAATGGGAGGCTGTGAGATGAAATATGTTTCTGAGAGAGAACTGCTTTGGGATTGATAATAAAAATACTGCCTTCTTCCACTGCTTATGTTGTAACTACGTGTCTGTCAGGGTTTTATATTATAATCCACTTTGGTCAGGGATTTACTGAGGTGTAAAACTTGAGTTTAGTTTGTAAACTGGCACTCTGTCTTCAGCTCCCTTTCACTGTTATTTAAGCTTCTGAACCCCATCAAGGCATAGTATAATTTCCTGTAAAAATGTGCAGTAGTTTTAAATTAGAGCTTCAAATTTCAGCAGTCTTTGGGTGGCCTGGTGGGGGATAAAAATAGCTTGTACACCTATCAGCTGATAACTGAGAGGCTTTAAAATAGATTATAGTCTTCGTGGCCCTAATCACCTAATTAGGTGGTGGCAAAAATTACCTACAGACACAGCTCAATTAAACCCTTCCTCTCCTTTAGAGAGGAGAGAAACATGCTTGAAGTCCTAGGAAGTCACAGCATGTTTGTGAGATAAATTTAATTTAGATTTTGGTATGCAAGCACCAATCAACCTAATAAAAGCATTTGATTGATTGTACACAGGTATATTTTGAAGGGAGCAGTCTAATTTTAATGATGGATCTTTATTATACTGCAATTTTGAGTCCTCCCTGTGCAGGTTATGGTCAGATGGTGACTCACCAGTCTCCATCATGGGAGTTTTCCTTCTAAACCTCAGGAAATGCAGGTCATGACCTTTTGGGTGGTAGTACAAAACTCAAGCGCTGTGCAGAGGAATTAAATGCAAGCTAAGTAGACTGGGAAATCCTTGTGCAGTTTTGAAGAGGGATTCTGCTCTGTGTTCAGTCAGATGTTTACTACAGAGGAGAAAACAGCTCTTAGAACTCACTCTTGATCTTCACCTGCCACGAGTGTGGGCAGAGCAAGCCAAGGTATTATATTCACATCAGTAACGCCCCGAGACACCGCGATGAGTTATTGCAGTGAGGCCCCCATGAATCAGTATTGATTGGCCACTTACTTTAAGGCTACTTAATTAAAACTAACAGGATGGCACAGCTCCCAGGGAAATCCACAGCGCTGTGATTTATGAGTGTGCTTGGGAGAAAGGGGGAAGGACAAGGTGTAACAGTTCTCTTTATTTTGCAGTTGAGATCTTTCCCCTGTAAGGGTAAATGAACAGTTTAAAAAGAAGAACTGGATGAGTGCAATAAATAAACTAGAAGGGCTGTTTTGGCAGTATTTTGGCTGTTAGAGAGGAATTCTGGCTTCTTCCCAGGGTACCTGACTGTCCTGTGGCATGAGTGTCATCCAGAGCATCCAGCATGAAGCTCTCTCATGTTAATGAGAAAATAAAATTACTTCCCTGTAACTGGGGTTGGAGTGAGCACAAGTCGCATCGCTGTTTTGTCAGGTTTGTGTTTCTGCTGAATGTAATTAGTTCCACAATTCTATCAAATTTTAGCTATTTATTCACAGCATCAAAATCTGGGGGAATCCACCCAACTGACTTCAAGTGTATTTTTAACCTAGAAATCTACACAATCTACTCCTTATTTTTACCTTTGTCTTGATGCTTTGAGGAGCAGTTGTTTATTTTTCATCAGGCTGGTTTAGGCAACAAGTTGCACTTTCTCTGCCAGCCCTGTGTATTGTGTGTGTTTGTTTGAGCAGAGTCACGTGTGAGAGGCAGAGAATCCAACCCACTGTGTCACTAACGAAACCCTGGGGCTTTGCACCTCCACATATTCCTGTTTCTCAGTGGCCAGTGGACAGGAAAAGTAAGGAAAATCCCACACAATGAATGCCATAAGGAGTTGTTTCTCATCTGCTGATATTTGCACAAAAATAAATAGAGGGAATTATGCCTTGAAAAGTTCAAGCCTTTGAATTGTGCTTAGCAGGCAGAAGTCAAGAAGTCACTTGCAACAGAACTGGGTTTGTTTTTTATCAGCACTTGCAATATCCTGGATCTCTGCTTGCTATTGCAAACAGTTTGGTGAGGGAGCAGCTGAATGCCAGAGGACAATGTATCACTCCCTGAGGGGAAGGTCTTGGACACTGTTAAGATAAAGGCAAGAACAGCATAGGGAAGTGTGATTTAAACAGTGAATTGATTTCTTTATATTTCTTCCAAAGCAAGGAAAAAACCAGAGAAAATATTTTTTTACATCTGATGCTAGAAGAAACCAAACTTTTTATTGTCTCCTTATTGTGCTAAGTGATAATTTGTGTTTTGTGAACATTCTAAATAAAGCCAGACAGTTCCACTGTTTCTAGAGAATTTTACTGATAATGTTTGAATTGAAGCAATGCTCTTGGGTGAAATCATCCACTCCATTTTTGTGTTAGTTTTGTTCAGGTGTATTAATTTCTAAAGACAGGCAGGCTTCAGTTCTCTGTATGCAAAAGACTGAATTTTTGAAGGTTTTGAACCTTAGAAGCTATAGAATTTACTGCTTAAAGGACTTAATCTTGGAGTTTTGTCAGGAGTCTGAAAAATTACGCTTTGTTTCTTGAGTCATCTGCAAGGGACATCAAATTCTCCCAACAGTTGCTGGGAGAAAGAGCATCCATGCTTTCCCAGACGTTGGCATGGAGATTTAACTGGGCAGCAGTCCCCAGACTCATGTGGGTGAGCACGTTGGTGGCTTGTGATCTGCTGTTAACACAGGTAGCACTGACAAGCTGCAGTACTTGCTGGGATGTTTCCCTCTCTCATTAAAAAGAGATTTATATAAAGTAATATTTCTCTGCACTGCCACCTAGTGAAGTGACCACGCTCTGTAAAGGCTCTGAGACTCTCAGCTGAGCATTCTAAGAGTGAACTGTATCTCAGGGGCACACAGGGCTTGGTGCACAAAATAGTTAGTTCAGTGCAGAGCAGCTGATATTGTCCTGAGGGTAACAGCAAATCTTACACAATCAGTGAGAAACAATAAATGTAATCACAGAATTCCAGCGATGGCTGCAATGACAGAGAGAGTCAAAAGGTTTAAACAGAGCAGCAGCAGTGACTGGCCAACCATAGATGCAAAACACTGAGTTTTAAATAAAGCAAGGATCCAATCTCTGCAGCTGCTGGAATGCTCTAAGTTCAGACTTTTTGGTAGGAGTTACCCAGGTTTCCTGGGGTCTGTATCTTCAAGCCCACAGAGTGATGCCCACCAAAATCCTCACTGGAGTTGTTTGGTCTAGAGCTTGAGTGACAGTTTTTAAAACAAGCTTTTGAGACTCTCAACGATGCCCAAGTTGTGTTGGGAACCCCCCACCGTGGGTGTGCTGTGAGTGATGGGATTTGCTGCTCCAGTGCCGGGATGGGCACCTAACGGGGTCCTGCACATTCCACCTCTCCATTTCCGCTTAGCTCAATGAGATTGATTTTGTTTAAAGATCCTTGACTATTTTTGGAACACACAAGTAGGTCAACCCATCGTTTCCTGATAGTGGAAATAGCTAAAATAGGACACCCAGCTCTGAAATCATTACTCCCTTCATGTATCATTTAGTGAGCAAAATCTCTCTTAATACTCTTGTGAAAGTCATCTTCAAATCAGAAGCTGTTCCCAACATAATGAAAACGGACATAATATGATTTAGAAGAACTAAAAAATCAGGAGAAGTGAAAACCAGATCCCACATTTTGTGAGTTATTCCTCAGCCATAACTGAATTAAGCATTATCTTAAAACATAAATGAAAGATGAGTTTATATTTTAAGTTGGGGATCACTTCTGAAGTTTTTGGTTGCAGGCATGACCTGCACATGTACAGACTGGCTGTATTTGCTAAAGTTGTGGAAAGGAAGTGAAGCAAACTGGTCATCTGGCAAATAAAAGACAAGTGCAGGGTGGAATAAGTTTCTGATTATTATTGATTTTGAAGTGAACCCTATTTTAAGGTCTTTCATTGAATCATGTCATAAAGTGTAAATTACAGAACAAGATTTCTTAACTTTATTTGCTAAACTGTTTGAGAAATCCGGGAGCCTTTGAAAAACCTGGAGCTTGTAGTTCTGAATGAGTTTGCTATATTCAGTAATTGGAGCCATATTTAAAGAAAAGGAAAATCCTTTCTTTTATTGAAGAAAGGCTAAATAGGATTGAGCTGTAGCCACTACCCCCCTAAGCCAAGCTGAGTGACTGAGAGAGGAGCTGTTTTACCTGTCTCTTGAGGCAATGAATTACTGTCTCCTAAATAATCTCAGAATGCCAGGGCAGCCAGACAATGACCATGCTGGGAATTATAACTTTGGTTCGTTGGCAACTGCACTGCTGATTTTTTTTTATTTTATTTTTTTTGCCATTTCATTTCCAGCCAAATTGCATTTAAGCTTCTTTGTTCAAGGAGTTCCCTTCCTGAGTTTGACACAGTTAGGTCTGAACACTTAATTGCATGTTGCCACAATACTTACAATTCATTTTTATTGGAAAAACACAGTCCTGAGTGGAAAACTTCAACCAGTGCAGTTTGTTTATTTGCAGTTTCCTCCGAAGTGTTGCAGGGGGGTGGCATAGTGACAATCTGGTTCCTAAGCAACCCCGTTATAAATAAGCAGCCAAGGAAGCACATTAGGGACTTAGAGAGGTTAAATGCATTATTGTTCTTAATTAAAATGTTTTGTTGAAAGGATGAACTCAGATGTGTGAATACTGAGCTATTCACACAACTGCTGCAGTCGGGCTTGATAAAACAATACGAAAGTTTCTCATTCTGTCAGTAACTTGAATACTGTCCTATTTCCACACAGGAAAAAAAGGTAATAAAAACTGAGACATCAAGAGTAACCTGCAAATAGTTTTCCCTTGAAAAATACATGGATTTTACTTCTAGCTCAGGCTAACATAGAGCATCTGCAGAAATGGCTTGTTTTCAGTCAAACCTCTCTAATCAGGTGTCAGAACAGGGTTTTGTTGTTTGGTTGTTGATTTTGCTTTTCTTGGAAGTCATCCTGGCTGTTATATCCTCTCTTCCCGCTCTCCAGGCAGGTAGTAATTGTATTCCACCTTGTACACAGGCTTCCCACTACACGTAAAAACTGTGCATATTAAAAAAAACTTTGGGAGAAGGGAGAAAGAGGGAAGTTACAGACACCGAAGGTCATCCTGTCATGTAAGAACAGTGTTAGGCCCAATATCCACCTCCCTCCAATCCCTGTATCTTCAAACCACCGGGAGAGAATACTTAGGAACAAGAATTCCCAAGTAAATACCAATAAAAGTAAAGGCTCCCAAGGAAACTTATTTGCAGCCCACCTGACTTAAACTCTCCTGCTGGACATTACTGAAAAGTAGCGTTGTAACAATCACTGCATATCGGTCGAGAAGAGCAGAACTCGTCAGCAATTCATTACTGTGCAAATTTATTTACTGTTCTGATTTTCTTTCCATTTACTGAAAGAGTGAAATGATTCAGTTAAAATATTTTTACAAAACAAGTGAGAGCTGTTTCCAGGAGGAAGGCGGAGAGATACTGCTAATAAGGACAGATTCCTTTGATGTCAGGCCTCACGCTGCATAAACTTGGTGGACCTTCATTTGTCCTTGTCATCTCGTAGGGTCTTTTGGCTCAGGGCCAAACAATTGATATAGTGGAGAGCTTCCAGCTAAAATAACAGCCTCTGCATCTTTATCTTCCCATCCATCAGATGGCTGGTGGAAGATAGGGCTAATTTGTCACTCTACCCACTTGGAAAAGTTTGATAAATGGCTTAATTAGACCTTTTTCTTTGTTTTGTTTTTTTTTTTTTTTTTAAAGAAATCACATTTCTTGAGAACTAGAGGTTGGGAAAACAATGGCTAAGCACTGAATTAGAAAAGGAAAATATTTTTTCTTCAGTAAGATCAGAGCAACCATTACACAAGCAGGAAGAGAAGTGGGAAGAATACGGTTGGTGGGAAGGAGTTTCAAGGGGGAAAAAAAAAGGCAAACCACCCTAATACACAAATATTCTGTGAGCTGTGCAGTTACCCAAAGATAGTGCCTACTCCACTCCAAGCCAGGACTTGGCTTCAAATCTCCTCCTTCAGTTTTAGGACAGAAGGAGGCTGGTCCAAGGCCACGTGCAAATCTTCTTCTCATGGGTCAAGTACTCAGCAAGTCCAGATCCCAGTTTTGAATGTTCCTGCTCAGGACATGCTAAAGGTAAAAATGATATTTGCATTTTCCTATTTTCTTGAGGTAATTTCATTGCTTATGAACCTACATGGATTAAAACCATTGGTTTTGATGTTTTTCAAACTTTCAGCCAGAAAAAAGGGAGGAAGAAACTGAGTAAAGTTCTAGGCTCAACCGTTGTTCCACCCACCGTGTTTGGATAATTATCCTCCCATTTTGTATGCGTAATTGTGGCGTGTATTCCCACATGTGGTGGATGTGTCTGTGACAGCTGCAAATCTCGAGTCAGATATGTCCAGGCTTTGTATTTCTAATCATCTTTTTATGTAACTGTTTCATTTGGCTCACCAAGGGAATATTTCTCCTTTCTCTGGTCTGACATAAATTAACAAAGCAAGAGACAAACTGCATCCTCCTTTTTTTTTTTGATAAACTGTCCAGAAATTGGATGTAATTCAAAAATAATTTAAAAACTCTTTAACCTCTAGGCAGAAACCTATAATAGTGAGGGAAAGACAAACATTTTTCAATTAAAAAGATTTAGAATGCCTTTCTCTGCAGAACACTAATCTGAAATGACACTGAGGGGTAATAGGCCTGGTATTAGTGCTTCCCCAAGGAAATGTCTTATCTTTTGCACTAAATTAACTTTGTCTTTCTTACACATCCTAAAGCTGTCAGTTTGGGCATTCTGTGTAAGGAAGCTTCTGATTTAAAGTTTCTGAGAAGAAAGGCAAAACAAATGTGTTTAAACAAGAATGACCTTTCTTGCCCCACTCTCCACAGCCGGTTGTGAAGAGGATACACATTAACATTAAATCATTAACACTCCTGGAAAATCCACCCGGACAGACTGTGGGTGAAGCCTCAGTGTGGGTCAAATCCTGCAGGTGAGATGTGTAACTGCAGCACATACCAGGATAAAGTGATGATGGATTGGGATAACACTGAGGCCTGCCAAGGGCATCCAGCACAGCTACAACCAGAAATGATCCCTCCTGGCTCCTTGGTGGCCTGAGACCAAATAATCAAATTGCAAATGCCATACTGGAAGGGACACCTTTAATAAAACAGGGAAAAACAGTGTAACAAGGCATCTCCTGCTCCCATGAGCATCCCATGTGAAGTGAAGATAAGTTGTACCTGCAGCTTTAGATCTTCACTAAGGAAACCTGATTTATCTAATTGCAGAATCTAAAAGTTCAACGACATGACAGCATGTTGGGACACGCAAAGTGCATTTACAGCATTATTTTTTGCATTAGAGGGAAAAGAAATGAAGCGTTTTCTTCCGTATAAAGAAATGTCTTGGACATGAGGAAAAAGGGATTATTTCGATCCCTGTGTTACTGATTTGCTATTTTAAAGTAAGTGAATATATCCAATATGTTTGACTATATTTTAAAAGTAAGAACTGTCAGAAATAAAACTCACTAAGTCTAGAGTAATGCTTTTTGATTTAGAGCCAGTTGTGGATATTAATATTTTAAATGAATTCAATATGTTTTGAATTGCTTTGCCACTTGGTTTACTTGGAAACTAAAACCATTTGTAACAAAACAGCTCAACTGCTTCTAAGTCAAACCAGTGTGTAGGAGCATGTGAAACTAAGGGTGCACTTCAGACCATCAAAAAAGAAACGTGTGGATTATATAAATGACAATGAAACCAAACCTAAAACTCGACAGGTACTTGGAAAAGAAAAATAATTCTCCACATTTTCACCTTATGGTGTGCAATAAGGTGCCTCTTTTCCCCGCCAGTGTTTTACTACACACAGAATACGCTCAGGTACTTTTTTACAGACACATTTAATACTAATGATGTGCATTTTAACATTTAGTACCATTTGCAAAATGAAGCCTGCTTTCAGTTTACTTGTTCATTCATAGAGTCCCACACCTTTAGAAGAACCTGTTACATGTGAGCAGAGGTGAACAACTCCTAACCTGTAACAACCCCTGCACAGAAACATCTATCAGTCACTCCTAAGACATGAAATGAAGCAGGCTGTCAATACCTCACCTTACAGTACAGTGAGTTTTATTCAAACCAAACTCTTTACGTGTTTTATTTAGACCCTGAGCTGAAATGTACTCTGTAAAATGCTTGGAAAACAGAGTTTTCAACACGGGTTTTCAAAATGATGCCTTCATTTTTATCCAGTGACAAAGGTTACATTGAACAGAGGGCAAACAGCAGATTTACTGAAGAGTTAAAAACTGCCCAAATGGATCCCAGGTGGAGTTCAGTCCTGAGCAAAGGCTTCAGGATTTGGTCATAGTGCTGGCCCCTACATATTATTAAGAATTAAATTAACTGCATTTTCTTTTCAGTACAGATTGCAGTTGCTGCTGGAGTCCCAAAGAAGGGAAGAGGAAACGCCATGAGGAGGGGATATAAACCCATGTGCAGGGACACGAAGCAGAGGACAGGTATGTACTCAAAATGGTTTATTTCTGTGTGCTCTGATCTTTAAATGTGACCCTAATGCTTATCACAAGTTAGTAATTGCTTACCAGAACCAGACTGGCCTTCACTGTAGCATCAGACTTGAGGCAATGAGGGCAGCATGAAAAACAGCTTCCAAGTTGTCAATGCCTTGGACTCCTTTGGCTTTTCTTTGCCTATAAAACCAGAAATGAATGTATTATCCTTTCAGATTGCTTTGATAAATCTCATTCCCTTTAGGATTAAACATTCCTGACCATTTTTATGTCTGATTGAGCTCTTTCAAACAAACATAAATTAAGTTCTTTAGCTCAACATTTATACCCATATAAAACTTAATTCCCCTTATGTCAAGTGTTGTCCTAGTAAGTCACTTGTGCAGATGACCATTCTTACTCTTCTACCTGCTCTGAGCTGTGACATGGCTCATCCGAAGCCATTCTCCAGTACTCCTCTCTGCTTTTCTGACAGCCCACTCTGCCAAACCTATATATTTACACAAGGAGCATCCCAATAAACAGTTCATGTGCAATGTTCAGTATTTGTGTGGTAGCTGAGATGAGGGAAGCTGCTGACAAAGTCAATGGAGGTGATACAGACTTGATAGAAGGTGAGTTTTTGTCCCAGCAAATCTTTGTAAAGAGATCAGTGCTCAGGAAGAAGGAAGGAATGATCCATCCCAGCTCAGACAGAGCCTGAAGCACCTGTATATTCATTCAGTAATTCCTCTTTTCATGTGTAATCTTAAGTTATATGTCTTAGTGATGTAACAGTCCTCGAATGAGTGAGATGGCACACCAGATAACGTGACAGAAATATCAAGTGAACAAGAAGGAAAGCACAGTTTGTGCTTCAGAGTATGACTATTTCAGAATTCGTGGGACTTGAGAAAAGTCCCTGCTTTCTCCTCCTTGTATGTGCTATGTTGTATAAACAGACTATGATATAGGGCAGTTCTGAAGTGCTGAGGTGCAACAGATAGAACCTATCTGTATTAAGATACATCTGATTTGCCTCTTACACTTGACCTGCTGTTTGGCTGCTGAAGAGCCATCCTGTAATCGGACATGTAAAATTACCCCCTCATTTCCTTTGCTGAAGGGAAGCTGCTACAGGAGGGCTCTGCCTTACTCAGTTTAATTGAGATGATCATCCAGATGCACAGATGTTTATTCCAATCTCCTCCAGGGAAGGAAGTGGGGACTCTATGGCTGTGACATTTCCAGGACTCTGGACAGGGCAGGATCCGTGCAGAAATGCTCTACCTTGCACTGCAGTATTGCTGCACTGTTGGAATTAACTCAGCTCCAGTAAGGAGGCAAATATTGGGGGGAAAATGTTGTCAAGTAGCCTGCAAAATAGTTTTTCTCCAAGTGGCTTGATTTTGTGGCTCAAGTGTGAAGTTTACATTATCTGCTGTTGTATTCCAGTTGATTTGTACGTTTCTAACTCGTGTTGTATTTTTGCATATTATGGATCTAATTAAATCTGGCAGCAGATAACTAATTCCAAATGAAGTTAGACAGAGGTGACTCATGATGTTAAACTTCAGTTTTTCATATACTAGTTTCCTATTAGATTTCATATACTAATTTTAGAATTTAACAGTGCCAGTGACTTTATACTTAAGAGTTACACCCTGCCACTGCTGCATTTTAACTAGTTATAAATTCAATCAAATTCCTTTTCCAGCTATTACCAGCTCAATGCATTATACAGTAAAACTGACCTCCTAAACCTTCCCAGGTGAAACAACCAAACAAAGGGTGCTGAAAGCTCTAAATATCTAAAATGGTTTAAGTGTCCTTTAAGAAACTTTGTTCCAGTACCTACATACATCTGCCCCCATTATAACTGTATTTTGGGGGGGGGGAGAAAAAAATCACCATTTGGGAGCTGTATTTCCTCAGGTAACATTGGTAAAGCACTTAAAATTCCTCTTGTTTAGGCCAATGTAAGCTTGTGAAATCTGGAGGCTACTATGAAACGTTTATAAAAATGCAATCCTGCAAAGGCCTTTGTGTGGTGAATGCCAGAAGTACCACTGTGTGCTGGACATATTTTTAATATTGATAAAAATGGAAAAAACCCAAATTTGTGCTCCAGGCTTGGACTGTGAGCACTGACAACCTCTCTCAGCTACACGGGGAGTTGAAGGAGTGCAGCCCAGTCTGTCAGTGGTTCCCATGTACCTCTTGCTGCCCTCATGTCTGAATGTCACCTTCCCAACTCTTCTGTGTGGTAAGGAGTGATGAAATTTCAGTTTTACAGGGAAAACTGAGTTTCAGATACACCAGCACTCCTCTATTTCCTGTATTTCCTCATATAATGAAAATATGCTGATTTCAGGACTAGTCATATCTCACACTGCCACAGTGCCTTGAGAAAACAATAGGATAGGCTGGCACAGGTACCAGAACATATTAAATTGATACAGCCAGGATAAATACCCAGAAATGCCACCACGTACTAAAACAATGGATCAGCAATGAACGACTGCCATTCCCACCTCCTTGAATTTCAGGAAAGGACTTGCATTTTCCTCCAGGGCCTCTCTTTTAATAGGGGGGGAGGGCAGCTGAGATTGATAAATAAGCAAGCAAAGCCACAAGTCAAATGCTGCAGGCTCCAGTCTGGATCTGCTGTATGTGATTCCAGCAGCCTGGAACAGCCAGCAGGAATTGCTGTTCCCAACAGTGGGGCATCTCCAGGGTGCAAGGGCTGCTGGGATCATTTATCAGGTTTTATGCCAGGTTTTACAGCAATACAGGACAAAAGCTGAGTCTGCATATTGCCAAATCCACATGGAGTTTGTTTGAGGATGCTGTGATCAAAATGGAGAGGTTTTGTAGTGAGGACACAATTAAATCGTGACTATCTTTTTCACAGAATGAGCTTTTACTGCTGGAATTACCAGCTGGGCTCCAGTCACAGCATCACCAAGGAACTCTTGGACTCTTCCTTAGCTCTCCACTGGTGCTTTGCTTCTATCTGGCCTAACAGACAGAATGAAGTCTGGCCTGCAAAGTTATCATTAGAATGTCAATAGAAATATAATTACATTTTCTCCAGCAGTGGAATTAGCACCACTAGGAAACAAAACCATTTTAAGGTTTCTCCTGCTGTGTTTGTATGAGCTTGGGGTCTAACTGGCAACCAGAGAAATCTGGCCTTTGTGCTCAACTAATGTAATGCCATGCTTTCCATTTTGAGAGGAAATTGCTGCTGGTGGGGCTTGTGCCGTAGGAAAAGAATTGCTGTTGCTAAATCTTCTGCTGGTTCAGGCTGCTTTGCCTGCCCACATGAAGAGAGTTATTTACGTGGCTTTGCATACACAGTTATACAGCTACAGCTTATGCATGTGTGTGTGTTGGTTTGGGATGCCTTTTTAGGAATGTTAGTGTGAAAGGTGCTATTTTCTAAGACTCTGGAGGTGGGTGAGGAAGCTCAGCAGTGAGCCCTGGAATGCTGCTCCCTACATCTCCTTATTGGGGACCCAGGGTGTGCTCAGGGTTTCCTGGCAGGCCACGTGCCCACATTTTTCCTGGTGAAGGCAAGGACTGGGAATTGGAAAGGGGAAGGGCTTGGTTAACCATAGACTTGTATTCTGTGTTTTAATGTACAAGTCAGTTAGGAAATAAATGAATCAGTAGAGATTCCTGCAGTGTTTCTTGTGCATCAGGAAATTGGCTTTTCCCTCAGCATCCCAGAAAGTGCAGTATTAGCTCAGAGTGATGGTGAGGAGCTAATTCTGCCTGTAATTGTACCTCCTGTGCCAGTATTGCAGCGTTCCCAAAAATGGTCCCAAATGAGAGAAAATCACCAAACTGAAGCCAGTTTCTCTTACAAGTAGCCATGAGCCTTTTTCAAAGAACTCTGAAATTATACTGCATGATAACTATTCCAGCTGCTGCTTCAGCCTTGTCCAGCTGCAGTGATTTACAGCAAAGCCTTTGTGAAACCAACAGCAGTCTGGAATTTGTGCTCAGTCTTGCCTGGCCAGCCGGATTCCGAGTGCAGAGCAAGCCCTTGTGCTGCCCTTGCTCAGGGATGACGGTACAATCAGGGTGGGCAGAGGTTGGCATTTTAATTCAGACCACAGGCCATGTCTGAAGCAAATTCCCTGATTTCTCCCAGCTGCCATGCCTGTCCTTGCACCACAGGTCAGAGCACAGGAGCCAAACTTTGGGATGAATCCAGCATCAGAAAGGTGCTCCAGGAGGACAATTCCTGCAATAGGCATGGGGGGTCCCCATGAGCAGCTGGAGATCTGCTCCCATTTGGCCTTCCCATTACTTTCCAATGTCGATGGAGCCATGTGACCCCTAGAATCCATCAGCAGGTAAGGCATTATTAGTGCATTACAGACTGTTGTGTTTACTAAACAGTTTTAATTAGGTACTAGAAAACCTAAAATAATATGTTCATCCCAATTAATTTAAACTCAAGACTTTCAACTTCTTTGCACAGTTTCTTATTTTCCTCCTCAGCCAAAGAAGCAACTCTGTTTTTGAGACTCTGCCATATGCATGCTAAAAAAACCCCCAAACCTCTCTTTTTTCCCCTATGATTTACATGCCAAATGTGCTTATTTACTCCTAGGTAGAATGAATCTTGTCTTTAATTACTTTTATACCAATTACATGCTTTTAATCTATGGTTTAGTGATTTATCACTTCCAGCTGCAGTGAGCAAAACACGCATAGGCTGGGAAACACATCCCTTGTGTAGATGGTGCTGTAGGGCCTTTTTAAATCATGCCAAGCCTTATGAGTTACTAAGTAGTTTTTAGGCTTTGAACAAATGAGCACATTTTAGTCAAGGACATCGCTGGCAACTCCTTATTAGGAGTGTAAAAAGTGTAAAGCCCAGGAAAACTTGTTAGAGAAAACTTAAGAGCACACCCTTCCAGGATTTTGTTCTAACATTCTGTATTGGTTTTACTCTTCCTCTTGTTTTTCTGCCATTGCTATGAAATTGCAAGTGGGTAAAATGCCTTAAGTCGGGATAGCATGAATTAATTCACAAGCTTTCTAGGTATCTGGATTTAAATTATTTTGGACTGATTTCCAGTATGTAGAAGTCCTACACTTGTATTGCTCTCCCCTTCGGAACATGTGAAAATGACAGCCTTAAAGAATTAGTCCCCAGAGCGTTATTATCCACTTCCAACTGATGGGGTACAAAGAGGCTTGATGGCTTCTTCAATACACTGTGGTAAAAGCTGGGAAAGGAATCCAGATGTCCTGGTCCCTCATCCTGTCCCTGAACCACAAACCACACGTCCTTGCCTTATTAGCGACAATCACAGCGCATGAAAACAGACTATTTATATCTAAATATTTCATCTGTTCTCACTCATTATTCCCTAACTCACCAATGTAATTGTGCTGGCAAGGAGACAATCCCAGTAAGAGCAAACAGATTGTTAGGTTTTTCTGCTGAGATACAAGCTGAAAAGAACAACTCCCAAATAACTGAGATCAAAAGGACCGTGTTTCCACTGAAACATCCTCGGTTGAGCAGCCGTGGGACAGAAGGTTTCGTAACATCTTCCTCGGCCGACTCTGGCAGCTGCATTAAAAGCACTGATCAAGAAAGGTTAACTTGGAAAAGAGTATTAGCCCAGAATGAGTTTAGCCAAAGAGAAAAAACCACCCTAATAAAAAGGGGCTTTGGAAAGTTCTGGTTTTTGAGTATTCTGGGATATTTAACACCCTTCTGAGTTTGCATAACAAGCAGCTTTGGGCAGAAAAATTAAGACGATTGTGCAAAACAAATCCAAGATTGACATTTCGTAAATATTGTTACAAATTGCTTCAGTGATTACATCTTCTCTGATTAGCAAAAATCCTGCTCAGTGTGGTGAAACCCTTGCTTCCATGTATGGGGAAGACCGAGGCACCTTGGGCACGACACAAAAGTCATTGAGGGATCAGTGACACCACATTTCACTCTATATAAGGCTGCCTCATGCCAGGACTGAAGTGGCAGCTGCAATCTGCCTCCCAGCTGCAGACATTATAGATATATAATGTGCACAGTCCTTTTCATTTCCCAGCGACAGGCAGAAGCGTGGTTGTGTTTGTCAGCATGTACACAACACGTACGCTGGTCCTTCTCCACGGGATACTGCAGTTTATCACCATAAAGCTTTAGGTTACTAATTCCAAACAGACTTTAGAGCAAAGGCTGAGAATACAACATCGATTCATAATGTTCAGGTTTCAGAAAGCAATCCCCAATTAACAGGAACGTTTTGGCTGGAGGTTTTTGTCTGCTGACCACACGCTCCCAAACATGGAGCACAACCAGTTGTATTTGAGAGCACTGGAGGGAGAAGGCAGCTAAAGAGCTCTGTGTTTTCATCTATTACTTAGCCAGAACTGCTCCCCTGCACATGTGCTCTTGTGTTTTCTCTTGTGTGGCATTTGGTGACCTGGTGCAGTCCCTGTACAGTCCTGAAGCTCTCTGTTGTTTGACACCACAAGTGAGATGGGCACCATAACCTCTGTGTGGCCCTGGAGCTGCACAGGAATGATTTCCTGCTCTCTGCAAAGGAAGATGCCTTCAGATTTTGTTAAATGATAACAAATAAGGAAAAGGAGGCCTCCCCTAGTTGTAGCAATCCTATCCCTCCCACTGGGCTTTCCTAGAGGTGGCAGAGTTGAAACTCCCGGGTTTTATTTTCAGAACATGGTCATTTCTCATTTTGGTATTTTAAAGTAAACAATTCCTGGTTCCCATGTATTATTCAAGGAGAGAGAAGTGGGTATCCAGTGCATAGATAATCAAACATCCAGCCTGCACCAGACAACCTTCTCAAATCACTTGAGAAACTTCCCTATTGCTGTTGTTATCATTCTCCATTCACTTCCTCCAATTATCCAACACTTCAAACATCGTATCCCATGTTTTCCCCACAGCTGTGGGGTGAAGCAAGCAGGAGCTGTGTTCCTTCCAGCTCCCCTGAACAGTGCTTGCTCACAGGAGAAGAGAGGGAGCTGCACAGATGTTACTGGTATCACATTAATACAGAAATAACCTGTTGAAAGTAGATTTGTTTTCAGATCTTTCAGTGAGAAAATATCGGTTTCAGAGAGAGGAATTAATGATTTTAACCTGCCTATCATGTTCTTTCACTGCCAGCACATAAAATCATTATTGGTGTTTCAAGCTGCAAATAGTAATGTTGAGGATATTTTCATTACTGCCAAAACATTTACATGAAACTGCTATTCAGATCAAATTATCTTGGAACTGCAAAGCGTGCGTGGATTCCAAATTATCCAACTTGGAGAGGTTGCTGCATATTGAAATTACACAGTACAAACCAGCAAAACTATTGCTTCAGATTCACAGGAATGCCAAAAAAAGAGCTCTTAGAAGAATCCTTGTCCTTAAATGCAATACTGTAACAGGCACAGGATTGGGCTGTATTTAAACCAGTATTTCACTACCAGAAAAACAGAGCTTTGCATTCTTTGAGCCTGCTTGTTCCTGACTTGTTTCCACAGCCCTTTAAACATGAGCAGCACTGCCCAAAGAGAACAGTGGCACAGAAGTGATGCATTAGGAAACAAGCACAAGAGGTGAAGAGCTGGGGCTGTTTGGGGAATGACAAATTGAAAGCACGAATTCCAAAAATGCAGTGAACTGTCAGAGGTGCTCAGTGCTTGGAGGATCCTATTAACTATCTCACACTTGTCTTTCAGCATCACACCAGTTATGGAAAAGACTCCAAAATATCACCAAAAAGAGGACTGGGCAATACTGTGAATTTCAAGTCTTTGATGAACCGTCATTCCAGGTATTTTGATGTGTTTTCCTTTGCACGATGGTCTAAACACCGTTACTGTGCTGCTTTTCAGTAAGGATTCTGGGCTGCAGTGGGAGAACCATATGGCCACATTAAAGATGACCCTAAGAAAACTACTTTCCTGGAAAGACCACAAAGGTAATTTTCCAAGAATCACAGGAAGGACTATCTAATTTAGCAACAGAGGTAAGGGATCATTTCTCTTTAGCAGAGAGGGGATGGACAGATGAAAACACTGTATGCAGGAAAAACTAAAAACTTGGAGCAGCTGTCAGAAAAGAGTTTACAAAGGAAAGTGAGGGCTGTAGAAAGAGCTCACGTGTGAGGAATATTGAGTGTGGCACTGGAGCAGGGTCCTTTGCCCTTTTGGTCCCTGATAACGGGAGATTACCATCTAAAATTTGCATGCTTTTTCCGTGCAAGTTTGTAGTTGATTTGTTCCCATTCCTTCAGTGAAATATCCTGCAAAGCAACAAAAAAAGCAATAGGCTAAGACAGGTCCCCCAGATGTGGTGAGGAGTGCTCAATGGGTGTTTGTCTGCAAGAGGAAATAAGTGCCTGTGTGCTCTTGCAGCAGGCTGTGTTTTATGGTGGCACACAGATACTCTGTGCTGCTGGGTGTGCTGGGTGGAAGTGGCAGATAAGGCATCCTGTCCAGAACAATCTGGTATGCTTCTCTGGGAGAGGGAAAAGGAATTCAAGAAAGGACCACGTTGGGAGGAAAGAAATGTTAATGATCTCTTCAGGGGCTGTGCTTTTGCCACTTCTCTAAATGTGCCTGCAGTGAGAGCTCTGTAAGTGGAATATACAGAAGAAAATGCCCAGTGCACACATTTCAATTCATAGTCACTACTCTGTGTTTTCCATGGTATTTTCATTACCTGGTGAGATGTCCATGTCCCCAAACACAGGTACAAAACAGTACAGGGTGCAAAGCCAGAGCTCTGAGAATGCCTGAGCTGGTGAAGGAGTGACAGCCACGTCACCCTGCACTGTGTGCAGGACTGCTGACGTGCTAGGTCTGGCAATGCTCTTGATGGCACCTGGGAGAACAGGGGGACGTGGTTTCCCACATCATCATCTTTCTTTACAAGCTCTTGAGGCTTCCAGGAGGAAGCTCTCCCTTTGTGCTCCATCTTAAAGACAGAGAAATCTGAATTAGTGGCTTTGATTCAGTAGGGCATTTCAACACCTAGCTTAAAGCATCAGATGAGCTCCAGTGAGTACAGGAAGTGTGGGGGCAGTCAGAATCACAAGCACATATGTAAATATTTCCCTGGATGAGGCTTCAAATTGCATTTGGGAAAACATGCAGTTAGAGAAAAAGAAGAACACATTAATTCCTTTTTTTTTTTCCCAACAGCATTTAACTTCATTTTTCTTAGAGTAGAGACGTGTGAAAAGCTGCACTGTTGCAGATGAAACTACATAAAATATGGTAGATTAAAGATTTGGATATTGATTTCTCAGGAGACCTTTTCCAGTCTAGACTTTATTGATATATCCTGCCAATTTGTTTGTCTGGTCTCCCTGTGAACATAACATTTGATACTGCAGGCAAGGTAAAAAGATCTTTGATAAGCTTGCTGCTTCCTGTGTTCACAATGCACTTTTGAAACACAACTTGGAGCTCCTCTGCACCACCCCCACCCTGCACGTTTTCACCATGTGCTTTCATGCTTTTCATTTGTGCACCCCGTGCCTTCATCCCGTGGTGGACCATTCCCAACTTTCAAATCTCCTGTGAAGAGAAGGCAACACCCTCTCATCAAGTTTACCCTCGGGATGGTGGACACACACTGCTGAACAGGTAGGATTTGATTGTGATCTCACTTGTTACCTGTCCTCACCCTTTGGTAGCTGTTTGTACCAGTGCCAACAAACTGGAGACTTGGAGAGGGGCTGAACATAAGAATTTACAGGGATTTCCATCAGAAAGATTCCAGAAACTAAACTGATCTTCAGGGGGTGATGCTGACTCACCAATGGCACTTCTTGCAGTGCCTTTATTGCTTTTTAGTTAAGCACACAATGAGTCTCTATAATTAGGCCACAGGCATAATATGGGACAAAAGGCACACATGGCTTTTTTTCTGGTTTTAATTTTCTTCCTTGTAGTTATTACTGGGCCCACTCTAGTGGCAACAAGTAGACATGAAGAACAGTTGTGTTTGAATTTTGCCATTTCAGATGAGTCTGTAAAATTCATGCTGGTTTCTGAAATGCCATCTTTATTGGAAGTTACATAAAGCACATTTTTTAATAAATGCCTTCATTAGTCCAAATATTTTGGTTTGGAAAAAAAAAAGAGGGGGAAGAATATTTGAAATTCAAATTAAAAAATGACTTGGCAGTAGGAGAAATATATATGTGTTGAAATTAAGGGAGACCAGGGAAGCCATCCACAAGGCAAGCCATCTCTGGAAAAGCATCTTTGTGCCCTCCCCTGCGTGGAATGAATGAAGTTCAAAGTCATGGTACAGCTGTAACCCAGTAGTGGCAAACAATCTTCAGACTAAATATCCAGACCTGCTCAGGTTGACTTCCTGCGAAGAGCCTATTGTCACAACAAAACCCTAAACCACTAAAGAAATCCATTCTTTTAGGAATACATGTTTCTGTGCCTGTCCTCTCCCCAGGTGGTAGGAATGTTCCCACTTTCTTTAGCAAGGAATAACCTGCCTGTATCCTTGGGTGTATCTGGCATTACCAAGTGCTTCACACCCCAGAGTTCCCCTGGGAAGCTTTGCTTCCCCTGGCTGATAGCAAGCTTCCGGGAAAATCAGTTTGTACTACAGATGTAGAGGAGTCTTTGTCAAAAGGAAATTCCTCCCTAACCACAGATAATCATTATCCATTCTGAATTACCTAATTATCTTCTGCCTTTTTTTTTTTTTTTTCATTGTGTGGAAAGAGAAACAAGGAGTTTTCTCACCAAGTCCCTCAGAAGTGGCTGAAATGCTCCATGTCTAACGGAGATCCCGGATTCCGGCCGCTGTCCCATTGTCCAGCGTGGGTGCCCGGGCTCGTAACCCAGCCATTGATGTGAACAGAACCAATTAGCCCCCGCTCACAATAGCTAAACCAGCTGATGTTGCCTTCGCTTGAAACAATGGCAGGACCTGCACGGGCTGTGTAACTCCTTCCAGAGTGGGACCGTGAGAAAGTGGAGCCCGTAAATGGCCTTTCAGTGGATGAACTCCTGAGCAGCCTTTCATACTGTGAACTCATCACTCGGCTGTCTGGGGGTGGTTTTCTTTAGAAAATCCCCGTTCAAATGCACCATGCCAGTTTTCAGTGATAAACCCTTCTGCTGAATGATATTCTGTCTCAGTGCTGTGTTCACCCCAGTATGGATTCATTCAGCAGCATCTTTTCCCTCCAGCCCTCTTTTACATTCCTTACCATGCTTGTTCCTCTTCCTAATGATCAGGGAATAGCAACGACCACTGATGAGAGTGTGGCAAGAACTGAATGTTGCTCCTAACAATGGCAGTGAGGCTTCATTTGAGATTTGGATGCCGAGAAAGTTCAAGCAAAGAAGCTGATGAGATCAGAAAATCAGCCCTTCCATATGAATCCAGTAACTTCCTTCCTTTTGACTACTTTCTCCTCCACCTAGCTGGAATCTTGCCACCACGACTAATCCCTGGATATCCAGAACCCAGCTCCTAGTAACAACAAGGCTGAGTTCGAAAAATGACTGCTCTTCAAAGCTGCTGTACAGCATTATGTCCCTTCCCACCTGGAATGTCTTCCAAGCACCTTCAGGCAACAGTTCATCACCTGCAAGTATGAAGCTCTTTGAAACAACGAGGCCTTTGCTAATGCAAAATGGCAAATGACTTTGGGAAGGTAATCCATAGTAAACAGGACCATCTACTTTATTCAGTACCTCTGCCAAGAGGCTGTTGACTTGGTCACCAGCTGATGCTGTGAATTTCCTGTAGGCAAACATTCCTTGGGAGCATCATTTCTCCTTCCCCAGCTGCTACATTTCCCTGTAGTTGAGCACAGTCTGGACACCACAGTCCCAGAGGTCTGACTCCTGCCTGGGCAGGCCTGTTGCCAGCCACCTGCAGCTGGATGTTGTGTTGCTTTCGGGATCCCCTTCCTAAAAACCAGTGTGGACTCAAATGAATTATTTCATGGCTGAGTAAGACTCACTAAATCCTTGGTGAGAACTGACAGTGAAGTCATCCCAGTACAGGATACTTGGAAGAATGGTCATTGAAATGTAACTAGGAGGTCTCCCCAAAGTGCCACTGGAAGAATGAGGAGAGAAATGCAAAGAAGGGCCATTTCCTTTATTATCAAAGAGATGATACCAGAGAGCCCCTACCTCTGGATTATCTGTCCATCCAGTGGCCTGGGGAAACAAGTAATCAGACTGACGAGTTTTATGGGCATTCTTCTCTTGCTCACCAATAGATGGGAGCAGAGATTTCTTGACTCATGAGATTTTTCAGGCTACAGCACTTGCAGTTTTTTGAAGACTGTAAGGGGCAAAAAAAGAAAACCAAACAAAGACAACATAACTCATTCATGTGTCCACAGGGAGAAGGACATTGTTTTGTTTAGTGGCATACAAATGAGGGTTGTAATGGGAGTCAAATGGAAACCAGGAGTCAGCACTCTTGAATTCTTTAACCTTGGGAATCTCTGGTTTGATATCTAGCACTGGTCAAAGGTATTTAATATGTTTACAACCCCTCATTGTTGTTTCCCAGATATAAGTGTGTTTTGCTTGGATCCAAACCTTTACAAAAGCAAATAAACATGTCCTAAACTTTCCTTCATTTTTCTTACAAGATCAAAGAGGAAAAGCTGTCCAGATTTAAAAAGCTCAGCCTCTAATGAGATGATCAGTGAATTGTTTCTCTCTTGTACTCTAAGCATTTAAATTACAGTATTGCACTTAGGGCACTCTGCACTTCTGACTGGTGTAGCAGGATCCAAAGCATCCAACACAAGGCAGACAAATCACTTCAGAAATGAGCTTTCAGTGTAGGTCCCTGGCCTCTGACCTCTCCTCAGAGACAAGCCAAATGCTGGCTATTAACTGTGCCTGGCACTCCTCGAGGGCTGGACACACCCTGAGTAGTTTCCTACCAGCGAGAAGCTTTTACAGGAAGCGAAATCTTGGATGGCAGTGGAGCAGCTGCACAGGTACCAACTGTGTGACACTGCTCTGAGTACAGTGGGGTCTGTCTGTAGTACCTTGGAGAGGCAGGATGGTCCTGGCACAAAAGCTACAACTAAACCTGCACAGATTCAAAAAATCCCTCACAACTGATGAGATTCATGAAGGTCCTGAGTCACTGACTCAGGGAGCTGCCAAAACCTTTTTATAATCCTGTGCTGTTAAACTAGAAAATGCTTTTTTAAACCTATTTGCTGAGATGAGTTTGCATATCTTGGGGTTCGTTTGTTAGGGGGATTTTTAGTTAATTCATAGTGGGAATATAAATGAAGTGCTACCTCTGAGGACAAGAGCTGATGGAACAGAGAGAAAGAAAATCTGTCCTGCCCAGCTGGTGAGTGGGTGCTCTGGGACATGGACTTGTGTTTTACAGTATGTCAGCACAGATCTGAGGTGACTCAGTGTGAGGGGCTGCCAAGGAATACCAGCAAGGTCTGCAGAGGTAGGACACGGTGCTGAGGCCTGACAAGAGCATTTCCATCACAGTACTCCGGGCCTCCGGAGCCATCCGGACACCCTGGACATTTGGCAGCTCCTGAGGTGCTGTTGGATGTGCTTCCCTCCAGTGCAGCCCCTCCAGACAGAGGTCTGCAGGCTGGGCAGCAGGGTGAGATAACCAGGGAGGTGTCCTGCCTGAACAGCTCTCTGCTCACCCCTCAGGTCCTTAAACTGCTTCTTTGCTTTTCTTTCTCTGAGGTTCAGAGCAAAGCAGGAGGGAGGAGAATCTGTTTTAGTGAGAGGGACATCCCAGCTCCTGAAGAGAGCCTAAAAACTGGGCTCAGAGAGATTTCTTCTTTATATTTAAGGTGAGTTTACCCCCTTTCCTATGAACCCAGCTTTCCAAGACACAGAAACCTTCCAGAGTCTTGACCTTGTCCCAGGGTGTGATCTTGGCATTGAACTGCATTTCTCAGCTTTTTTCATGTCATTTGCTTTACTCCAGGGGATTGATGTCTCCAGCTCCCTTTCATGGCACAGCCTGAAGCAAGGGTCTGAAGTGATTTTCCCCCCCTCCCTGCTTCTGGCAGTAAATCCTACAGATACCACTGGTCTTAACCAGCACAGCCAGAGAAGAAGTTGCCAAGAACTCTGGAAAAAAAGGAGGAAAACAAAGTCAGCTGATTGCATGCCAAGGAGGAGGTATTTTGGAAGTTAAAAACTCTGATTTGTAGTTTGGGTGTGTTTGGAATTTATCAAAGCCACGTCTTCATTCTAGTAATAAGCTCTACTAAAAACCAAAGTCCTCTACGCAAAACTGGCTTTTTCTTTCCTAATCTAACAACAACGGCCTTTCTGAAATTATAGTTTCTGTTATTGTTGAGTTAAAAATTAAAATTAAAACCTTTTCCTGCAAGAGGGAGAAGTTTTACACCTTTTTATAATAAGATGGGGGAGGAGTTCTACAAAATTACCCAACAAAACATCAGATTAAGATGCTGTGGTGATTCAAAATTTAAGAATGTAATGAAAGGGAATGCACCTTATCCAGCTTCAGATGATTGGGAGTCAAGGATTAACAATCTGTCCTACCCTGTCAAGGCAGAAAAACAGGTACCTCTGGAACCCTCTCCACGTGATGCTGTGGAGGGAATTTTTGCCCTGTGGAGAAGTGCCAGGGTTTTCATTCCCTATGGAGAAAGCCAAAAGAAGCAGCTTTTAGATGCCTGAGCAGAGGTGAGTCGAGTCCTGTCCCTGCTTAAGTGGGACCAGTTTTTTTCTGGAGTAATAGTTTCTATTGGAATTATCAGTGGGAGTACTGGTCCTAAACTGGACAATAAGGCAAAGGAGTGAAGACAACTCCCTGTGATGTGATGTGAAGTGCAGCTTGTGGGTATCGGCAGTGCGCCTGCACTCGGGGAAGGAGAAAGAATCCACTTAATCATGTGTTCTTTTTTTCATATGCATAAACATGATCTGTGAGACAGAGCTAATGCATAAAACTCAAGCCCTTAGCACAAGTCTCTGGTTTTTCCTGGGCTACAATTTATTCAGCACTGTGGAGGAGTATGGCTCCTATTACACATCAAAAGTCCTTTCGCAGGGAAATACTTGGCTCCGGATTATCACTGTGAAAGCCACACACACATTCCCTGCTCTCTGTGCCCGCTCTGATGCAGAGCAAGCAGTGCCCAAAAGCAGCTGTGGCACCGGTGTGAGGGGGCTTCCCTGCTCCTGTGCAGGGGGACCGCAGCAGGAGCTGCACTCCCACCGGGCCGCCCCACTCGGCAGCACGCGCTTCCACTCCACTGCCACACAGGCGTTCCTCCTGCTCTGCCAGCCAGCTGCAGCTCCAGGCCCAGCCCGGGATTTGTGGGGAGGGGATTTTGCTTTGACAGCCCAGTGTCATTTTGGTTTTACATAATCAGCCCTTTTTGTTATAAGTTGTGGACTACAGATAACAGCGGTGAAAAACTATTTGAAGTGGGAGCAGCACTCTGGGTACAGAGCGAGACAGAAAACATTCAGAAAAACCAAATATTTCTTATTTCTTGTAATCACCTGCCTTACAGCAGTCAAATGTTGACAAGTGTTTGCTGATAACTGGCTTGCAGGAAAGACAAAGTGAAAGAGAACAGCAAGAGAGGGGTTTTTTTGCATTTCTAATAAACCTGTAGTCATGCCCTTCAATGGCAGTTTTGCCAGCAGCAAAAAGTAAGACAAATTTTTGCAGTCTGAAGTGTCTGGAAGCAAACTCACACGTGCCTTCACTCTACTGGCCTTTTGTTTGGAGAACCTTTCCATCTGGATGAGTAGCAGGAACAGGGAAGCATTTGAAGCTGGGAGAACTACCATCCTGCTGCCTATAAAGCACTGATAGGATTTTTATGTGGAGCCCTAAAGAGAGCGCCACGCAGCGCTTTCATTTTGCCGAATGCGAGAGCTCAGATGTTTGCAAGCAAAACAAAATGAGCTGAGGCACTGAAAGCCCTTCCTGAAATGTGCCTGGTGGCTGATGCCGTGGCACATCCCCCAGCACATGCCTTGTGCAGGCTCTGCCTCACGTGGACCCCTGGGCACAGCAGCACCACCGCTGAGATCCTGCTCATGGCCCCCCCTGCACAAAGGGGAAGGTAATTAGCAGAGAAATGACTGTTGGTGCAGCCAGAAAGTAGACAAGTAATCCTTTGGGGTTTAGTTCATCGCCTCGTTGTTTTCAAACCGGCGCCTAATCTTCCCAGACCCCACTCCGTGGCTGCTCCTTTCTTCCTTTCTGTTCTCCTTCCCCCTTTTTGCAGGGACTGTGGCTTATTCTGATTCACTCCATTTCTTTCTTCCTAAACAGCCACAGGGCAGCCTGGCTGTTGCCAGGGATATAGTAAATGCATGTGACACCGGGCCACCGGCAACAATCGAGCGAGTCACACTCGTCCCCGGTGTAATGGCGCTGAAATCGGCACAGCCAGGCTGGGAGCTGGACAGCCCAGCTATGAAACTGGATAAAGACTTTGCTTTAAGGAAAGTGCCCTTAAAAATAAGCTTTCAGGGAGAAATGTGCAGGTTTTACCTGTAAAATGGTTGTTAGCAAAGGTTTCATTGCCAAACTCCAGTCAGAGCAG